TTTTGCACAGTTGTGCGTTTTGATATATAATATCTCTATCGTTTCGGAAAAAAAAAATAAAAAAATTTGTACATCAAAATTCTAAATGTTCATTTTATGTGTAATCATGTATTCGTTTCATGAATGATTTAAAAAATCAAATGAATTATTAATAATATTCTATAGAATGTAAGTTATTTATGCATTATTTATTTTATATTGAAACATATTGTATCTGCTTATATTAACTCCGTAAAAGTATATCAATATATTCTATATAATTCATCATGACAGAAACATGTCAAATATAATATTTTGTAGTTAAGAAAAAGATCCATTTTCAAAGTTGAAATATTTTATAATTTATTTGAAAATTACGATTAATTACTTTTAGTTAATTGGATTTTATTTGTTGTTATTCATACTTATAATTTTACCATAAATTATATTTTTATATCTTTTACTAATCATTGTAATTATAGTTTTTCTATTATAAATATATCAAATATAAAAGATATCTTAAGCAATCAATATTCATCTATTTGACAATATGTCTTCGCATTTGATTTTTTAAATGTTATTCATTGTTCTATTATAGAGTAGCTTTTATCATATATTTCGGCTTTTATAAGTATTTGTTGTTTTTTTAAAAATTATTATTTTGATAAGATATTATTTAAAATAGTTGTTAAATTTTACTTTAACGAAAGACACTTTTTAACTAAATTATGTCGTACATAAGTTATAGATTCATATTTAATAAACATAAAATTTGATATTTGCTCTAATCAATTTTTTATTGTGTTCAAATATTTTAATTCTAGCAATTAAATCTAGTTATGAACAATAATAATGAAAATAAGATAATAATAATGTGAATTTTTTTATTTTAATAATTATTATTATGTCCATAAATTCATGTGAAAATTACTTTCATGTTATATCATGTGTTTTTCTTTAATTTGTTTTCTCAGTATGTCCTATTTGATACTCTATATTTTCGAAAAAGACATTTAATTGGTTTTATGTACCATGTTATTTGTCTCTTGTAAATTTTATATAATTATGTTATATCAACTTTGTTTATTATGACATGTAGTTATGTCATTAGTAATATGAAAATAATATAGATTGAGAATTGTAACAAATTTATATTATAATACTTTTACTTAACATTGTATGTTGTTAAATTGATGATTCTACTTCCATACTTTTTCATTGGTTCACATAGACGTGGCCAGGTGCCGGGTCCGGGCCCGGCCCGGCCCGCCGGGCCACAGGCCCTCAAACAGCCGAACCGCGACCGGCCC